CCTTCCAGATAATACTGATGCATGCTCAAGTTTGAGAACCATAGTACTAGAGGATCTTTAAAAATACCCAGAAGACTGGAAACAGGTGTTACCTCTGGGAGAATAAAGAGGAGAGGAGCAGGAGTGAGACTCCTCACTTTGGTGTTTGGATCCCATCCCTCTCCCCTATGCCTATGTGTCACTATCTATATATATAAAAGGCTGACTGACTGTATGTACGTCTGACCGCTCAACCACCCAGTACATATGATGCACACTGGCAATTTAAAAATAAACGTTGACTCGCACATACATATAAAGCTCTTGCTGGCACCAATTGCTCATGTGTGTTTTGATCTGTCATTGTCGATTGTGAATTTGGTTGTTTTTGTTGACATTCTGAGGCTGAAAGCAGCATCATCAACAGAATATGTCTGAAGACTGACTATTGGCATGATGTACCCATGAAGCAAAAAGAAGCCGGCGTCATTGACAGAATGTATTGTGGTTTTACTTTTTTCTTTTTTGTGGTTTTACTTTTTAAAAAATATTTTATTGACATTTTACAGAGAGGAAGGGAGAGGGATAGAGTTAGAAACATCAATGAGAGGGAAACATCGATCAGCTGCCTCCTGCACACCCGCTACTGGGGATATGCCCACAACCAAGGTACATGCCCTTGACTGGAATCTTTCAACCTGGGACCTTTCAATCTGCAGGCCGACGTTCTATCCACTGAGCCAAACCAGTTAGGGCGAGTGTTTTTACTCTTATGTGGTATTCAGGGAGATATCAGAATAAGTTTAATCAATTTATCAGTCATTGTTTTTATCAATGTTGTTTTTATGTCACGTCTTTATGTTTTTATTGTTTATTTATTAAATCAATTTATATATTATTTTCATATACATTTTACTAATTTTCTTTCATCTCTGACACTTCTATTATAGAGAAAAGGAAAATAGCAATATTAAAATATTTCTTCTAATCAATTTCCCTTCAAAGTGCACGAATCCACATTGAATTCATGCCACTAATTTTAAATAAAAATTTAACAGTCAAAACCTGCAAATTTGGTCCAAAATGGGTAAGAAATGAGCTCAGTGCTTCTGAAAAACTGAATTAGGAGTTTTGACTTACAGCACAATTCTTAAAACAACCTATTTTAGACCAAGATTTCAATGCTGAAGATAAAGCATATCTATAAATGACCACATATGGTTTGGCATAGCAGATTCTAAGTCTGATGATAATGAAGTTATTTATTGAGTTGAAGTTTTAAAAAAGAGGAAAGGCTTTTTAGAGGTTTTATTAGAATGAGGCAAATTACCCTTATTGTAGAGAGTAACAATAAAAAAACACACACACAAAGAAAAAAAGGCAAAGACAAAGAGAAAATTTGAACTTTTTTTTTAAAAAAAGCACAAAATCCTACATACTAAAATTGTACACATCAAGTATTGGTCCAATCTTATATCAATCTATTTACAATTAAACAGCACCATAGTTTTCTCACCTAGGTTAGTTAAACATGCCCAGTATTTGTTATTCAAAGTATATGTTCCTTTAAAATAAACTCTTGAGAGCTTAAATCTTCAACAAACAAAAAAGACCTTCCACCAACCATAGATTATTAATGATATCACCAGATTTACTTAAGAAAAATAGGTTTGAACACTTTTTTCCCAATTGACAAACTTTGAGAGATGTTGCTGATTCAATGTGGCACACAAATGAACGAAAACTATTTAATGATGGGCCGAGGGGTCCCAGATTGTGAGAGGGCGCAGGCCAGGTCGAGGGACCCCATGGGTGCATGATTGGGGCTGGGGAGGGACCGCAGGAGGGCTTCAGGGCATGTCCAGCCTGTCTCGTTCAGTTCCTATCGGCTGGACCCCAGCAGCAAGCTAACCTACCAGTTGGAGCATCTGCCCCCTGGGCGTCAGTGCACGTCATAGTGACTGGTTGACTGTATGCCTCCTGGTGGTCAATGCATGTCATAGCGAGTGGTTGAGAGGCCTTAGCATATCATTAGCATATTACACTTTGATTGGTTGAACGGCCAACAGGTCAACTGGACGCTTAGCATATTAGGCTTTTATTATATAGGATCTAGCAGGCTATAGGAAGTTTAATACCATTTTGAACATTACCTTTAGACTAATTAGCAGTTTCATTTTGCCACTGAAATTAATAATGGTGCTTCACATCCAAATAGGTGTGGAGGTTTGATTATTTCCCTGCTGCAAACAGCATAAGTACCTTCTTCCTCTAATTTCCCATCTCATGGATTCTCAGGGGTACGGTGATCATGTGGTAGCCCCTCTCTCACTAATGGAACCAACCTTGAAAAGGCTCCAAGTTAAATATAATCCTTGGCAGCTTTATTCAGTCACAGTACCAAAGAATCAGGTTATCTCACTGGATTTTTCAGTCCTCTATAATCAAATCTGTGGATGGTTCTTAATTTGCCTCTTTGCTAGGCAAGAGGAGAGAGGAAAACGGTCATCTAGCATAACTAAGGTAACAGTGAACAGGAAAGCACTAAAGTATAAAGCAATGTTTCATCATTTGGTCTCACTGCTGATGTTAAAGTGACATCAGTAAACCTTTCATATTAGAATTTATGAGTCAAAATTTTCTTTAAATGACTGAAAATAGGCACAATTCTCCTAGGCACAGATGGAATGGGTTTCCTTATACCCTTCCTGCAAATTGGAGGAGAAGGAGAATGACTTTATTATCCTACAGTGGAAACAGCTGTACTTGGTTCCCTGCATTCTCTGGCCCAGTATCCATGCATTTGGGAACACAGTTCTGCAAAGTTCCAAGCAGAGTGGAGAGAACAATTTAAGGTATTAAATAGTAGTGACCTTCTATGCCTGGATATGAAAACCACTTTGTTGTACACACATTTTAAAATACCTATGTAGCAAGAGAAAAGAGACTTTTCAACTGAGTATCAGTTGAAAATCAGAGATCTGATTGCACTGACTAAATTATTGCCTAGTGTTCCAGAGGACGCCTGCCACCAATGTGCTGGAAGGCATCAAAATTTAGTGTGAATGTAAATAAAAAACTCAACGTATGGGGATGAGGAAAGCAATACTGAGACAAAATTTGCCAATCTCTAATCCTTAATGACTAAATATTAATTAAGCAAAGAATTAAGACCAGAATAGAAGCAAACCTCAAATACTGCTCTTTCCAGTTTCCATGCTAAAAAGCTCATTTTATCATTGTTATTGATGATTTTTGGAAGTTATATTTTATTTTTATAAAAACTCTGTATTCACAAGGTGCTTGGTGCTGTTCACTGATGCGATGTTCTATGTACAGTCCAAATCATTTAAATACAGCCATTACATAGTTGCTGAGTGTTTGAAAATAAATGGTTATCGATTTCTTAACTGCCCCTCAAATTAGAAATTGTAATTACATGAGTCTCAAATGCTAGCTCTTTGTGTTTTATTAATTATTTTTGTTGGTCTCCATCACAGATGGAATTTTTCACTGATAATTCCTCAGAACTAAATCCATTATACGGAATTCAGAGCAGTGAAAATAAATTTCACGCCATAGAGTAGGAAACAACAATACAAAGGAGTGGGAGGGATCTGGGAACCAGCCAATAGGACCAGATCAGTTCTCAACTGGTGTTGGGTTTTGCAAAGGTTGGCTCATTATAACCTGTACAACGTAGTCCTTTGGGATCTTCAGCTCTTCTAACTTCATTTTGTCAGTGAGAGGTCTGCCAGAAAAGAACCACCGCTGACTGCTTGGTTCCACTCCCTCTGCTGAGTGGAGCCGCCTCTTCATGTGGTACACTGTGTCTGTGCTGCGGACTACAAGTTTGAGGTCTTTGCCAGTGGAAAGGCGCAAACGGAGCTGACATTCATATCCAGAATTAGGAGGTGGCTCAGGAATATCTAGAGTCTCTATGTCGCTCTTTTCCTCTATCATGTTGATAGGTGGTGCCAGGCAATAGACTGGAAGCTGGTATCTGTTTCCCAGTTCATCGTAGCACTCTGTAAGTGAACCTTCAGGAAGAAGATATGAATAAGAATTTTATCTAAATAAACGCAGTTTTATTTTTATATCTTGCAAAATGCTCAAGCATCTCCTGCCATCATAGAGAAAAATACTAATGGCAGTCACTCTCGACTGACCATCAATAATAATGTCCCATCACCAATTTTTTGAATGTTTATCTAATTTTACATTAACCAGGGCTCTAGTTCCTTACCCTCATTTCTTTTAGGTCATTTCATACCTAATTCACACGTTCATTAAAGGATAAAGGAAAAGATAGCACACAAAATTCAAATTTTAAATATCATTAATGCTTAGGCCAAATTAAGGGAGAGATTCAAATTGCACTGGGATATCTTTTCAAGAAAGAATAAACTACCTTAAAAAAAGAAAAAGCAAAAAAAAGGATCTCTAAATCTAATTCCCTACAACACAGTAGAATTCTAGAGTGGTTTTCTTATTGCGTAGACTTTCTAAATCAAAGTACTTGGCCAGACCCCTTATAGTCCAAGGAGATAACAAACTCGAGATGCCACTGGCTCATGGCTTACATATGAATCTCATTAGCACAATTACCAAAGGAATAATGGAGGTGTTTTATTAACCCCAATTAGTCAATGTTACAGAGAAGCTACGGGTTAAAAAGAAAGAACAAAATGGGTATTAAGTTTATAACCAGCTGGCGCTCAGAAGAAGGAAAAAAGTATTTATGGTTTAAAAGAAAGTATTAATGACTAATTTTTTAAATAACACAGGAACTGCATTATAATTACTAGGACTTCTCCTTAGGGGAAGCTTAAAAGCATACTCAATAAATGTTTCATTGTAAGGCTACTCATAATGTGTCCTTTACGCAAACTGAAACATTGTTAGCTGATTTTCAATGTGGATAAAAAACATCTACCATACTCAAAACACTTATGGACAAGTTAATAAATATGGGGAGTGGCACACTGAGAAATGGTTATCAATGAACAAGTGAGTTAATAAGCTGATCTTTATGGTCACATCAACAGGCTGAAAATACAAAGCATCGGAAATGAGACCTCAACAGTCACCAACCTACCATGGGTTCGATCGGGTCTGTCTTCCAGTTACAGAATATGAGCTGAGGTGAGCACTAAGTCACCAAGCACAACATCCATGTTTGCCCCCTTTCCTCTGTTTAATGACATTGTTCAGCCTGTGCTGTTTACTAATGAATCTGAACACTGCTATTACATTGTAGAGATGGATATACTCCAAGCACAGTTGTGATCACCAGCAGTTCCCCACACTAGTAACTAACGGTTGTCCCAAAATTCACGCAAGAAGTAATTTTGATAGAAAACACAGGTTTGTAATTAAAAACTGTAAATTTTTTATTGATTCATAAAGTATACAGTATAGGGTTATGTATGGAATAGCACATCGGGTAAATGGCCTCCACGGCTTTGCTGGCACAGACGCAAAGCCGTGGTCTTCATTGGTCTTCATTGTACCTGCTCCTGGGCCATCATTGGTACTTGGTGATGCTTATCAAATTGAAGGGATTGAAATCAAAGTGCAACAGATATTAGAGTCTGACTCAATAAACCAAGTAACTATCACATTCCAGTAACAACCTATATATATAAAAGGCTGTGTCTGCTCGTCCCACTGGTAGCTATGATGCACGCTGACCACCAGGGGGCAGATGCATAATGCAGGAGCTACTGTGACATGCACTGGCCATTTAAAAATAAGCGGCACCACAGACCTGGCGCCCACAAACCAACACTCGACTTCTCCGAAGTGGGACACAGGCCCTGCCTCCTCCCTGGAACAACAACTCACCAAATCGCAGCTGCTGCCAAGACCCCATGGCACAAAATGTGGACCCCAGCCCAGAAACGGTTGCTGTGGGCACTTGCTGATGACATCACATAGCAACGCCCCGTTTCCTCTCCCTAGCGAGTTTCGTTGGAGTTTCTTCAGCCCAGGAACCTGACTTGCTTTATAGCTAGGTGCAAACATTTTACACTTTAACCAAATGTTTGTGAGGCGTTTTCACATGTCTCATCTCATTTGATCCTCACAGAAGTCCTGGAGTAGGTAGATAGGAGACTCAGTAGAATCTTATTTTCATTAGCCGGAAAACGGAGATTTAGAAAGTTTAGAAACTTGACCCAACTGAAAAGAAGAAATGCTGGAACTTAAAAATGACTTCAGGTTTTCTCACTGCGCAGAATACAGTCAAACACTGCTGCAGTTAAGTATTGTACCCTTTGTTCTCCCTGTGTGATCTACAATAATAATTTACTTATGTTGATTATTTACTGCTGTGCTGCTGACAAATCACCTGAAAGAGAAGTTGGGGTGCTTCACTGGGCTGGAAGAAGTTTAGCTAAATCAAAAAGCAGGTCTAATTAAGCAAGTTTATATATATCAAAAGGCAAAGTTGACTCGTGCATGCGCGATACACATAAAGCTCTCGCTGGCGCCAATGGCAATGTGTGTGTTTTGATCTGTCATTGTCGATTGTGAATTTGGTTGACACTTCTATTATAGAGAAAGGGCGAATAGTGATATTAAAATATTTCTTCTAATTGATTTCCTTTCCATGTGCACAAATCCGTTCACCGGGACACTAGTATTATTTATAAATAGAGGTATGATCAGTTATGCAAACTTCACTGTTTATATACTTTATGTAGCTTATTCCTAGGACAAAGAAACCTACCAGTGTTTTTCAGATGGGCTGGCTATCAGAAGAATAAAGAAAGGGGAGAGTTCACTAAAGACCTACCACTTCTATTAAGTAAACACCTTCAAATACATATCCCAGATTTTGGAGGATCAGTCATGACAGCCTGGTAGGTATAAGAATGTATTTGTGTAATATACCTTTGGAATTAGGAAACCAAGATGAAGTTCCCAACCTTGTTATTAACTAGCTAAACAGCCTTGAGCAACATTCTTTAACCTGAAATACCTTTCTCAACCAGCAAAATGAGGCAGGATCAAACTGACCTGTAAAGTGGTTCCCACAGATGCTTCTCTATCTTCATGCACCACAACAGACAGAAACCATAGGACTGCAAACCAAAGCAGTCAAAGGGCAACATTTTTAGGCTCCCTGGAAACTAGGACAAGAGGTGCCAGGGCAGCCTTTTGTACCATGCTAAAATAGCAGTGTGTGCCAACCTCAACACAGCGTTCAATCTAATAGGCACTTGATCTCTTCCTAGATCTGAATACTCACTCCTCCATCACAATGGAAAGCCGAGTCTTTTCCCTTCTGCTCTTCAGAGTAACAAGTTGGGTTCAGTTTTCAGACCTCAAATGGGTGAAAATAAAAATTCCATGGAAGTACAAGGTAGACAGCACATATCGGTGATGCTGGAAATAAGTTATCCAGACTCTGTATTGCTCAGAAGCTCCAATATTTCAACATTTTTAGGAAAGGTAACTTGTAGTTTACTAGTATTTAACACGAAGTTTTCTGATTTACTTTTTCTTATGAAGTATAAACTGAATTATAAATATGTTCTAGAGTTTGTTTTTTTTAAATATATTTTATTGATTTTTTACAGAGAGAAAAGGAGAGAGATAGAGATAGAGAGTTAGAAACATCGATGAGAGAGAAACATCGATCAGCTGTCTCCTGCATATCCCCCACTGGGGAAGTGCGCGCAACCCAGGTACATGCCCTTGACGGGAATCGAACCTGGGACCTTTCAGTACGCAGGCCGAGGCTCTCTCCACTGAGCCAAACCGGTTTCGGCTGTTCTAGAGTTTTAAAGTAAAACCAAAGAGGGGGAAATCCAGATCATAAAGTCAAATATGATTTCATTTCATGGTTATCCTCTACCCAAATTAAATATCCAGGATTATAAATTATCAATAAAAATAATCTGTGAAATCAGACAAGCAACTTTTTGATGCATGCGACCCAACCAACTGAGCCACACCAGCCAGGGCAAAAAGTTTCTTGGGAGCAGAGTTCATTCAGAAAATTAATGGATATTTAGAAAATTGGGAAAGACAGTTAAACACATTTTATTTTAAAAAGAGTCAAAGGACATAAAGCAGATGATTAAACAGTAAAAGGCACTGTTCTTCTGAAAATATAAACAAAGGAAGATAATGAAAAAGGAACAACGAAGGCATAATAATAGGAAACAATGCATACAGCTGAATACACACACACACACACACACACACACACACACACACACACGAGGCTCGGTGCACTGGGAATGGAGTGCGGTACCACAGCCTGGCTTGTGCTCTCTCGTGGCCCTTGGACGGGTGTTTGAGGGGATCGGGCCAAAGCCAGCAGTCGGATACCCCTCTTGCAGTCCAGGACCCCTTGCTCCTTACCACCACCTGCTCGCTGTTCCTTATCTCTGGCTGAGCGGTGCTCACCCTGTGGGAGTGCACTGACCACCAGCGGGCAGCCCTGTGTTGAGCGTCTGCTCCCTGTTGGTCAGTGTGCATCATAGTGACTGGTCGTTCCGCCATAACAGTCACTTAGACTTATTATTTATTGGAGGCCCAGTGCACAAAATTTGTGCACGGGGGCGGGTGGGCTGCCCAAGGCCTCAGCCTGGCCTATACCCTCTCGCAATCTGGGACCCCTCAGGGGATCTTGCCACCATCTCTGTGCTTTCCAGCCATGATCCGGCTTCTGGCTGAGTGGTGCTCACCCTCTGGGCTTCCGGAAGAAGCCGAGGCTGCAAGAGAAGCCTGGGTCCTGGGTGCCAGAGGGGAGCCAGTGCCGGCAGCTGGGGAAGGTAGGCCTACTCTTGCACGAATTTAGTGCATCGGGCCCCTAGTATACATATATGTGTGTGTGTATGTATATATATATATATATATGTGGCTAAAGGAAGTTAGAAAACTATTAACTTGAAAAACTGAAGAGAAAAATAAATTTATAAATACAGAAATAAAAAAGATAAAATTAACACCTAAATCTTATATAGCATGAACATTTTTGCGTGTGTCTAATCAAGGAGACCGAGCAAAAGGATGTGCATGGGTCCAGTATATATGTGTCCCTGGAAAATATTCAAAGCTTTCACATTCCATGTCCAGTTGGTGTGGCTCAGCGGTTGAGTGCTGGCCCAGGAACCAAGAGGTCACCAGTTTGATTCCAGGTCAGAGTACATGCCAGGGTTGGGGCTCGATCTCCAGCAGGGGTGTGTACAGGAGGCAGCTGATAGATACTGTTCCTCTCTTATCCAATATTTCTCTCCCTTTAACCCTCTCCCTTCCCTTTTCTAAAAATCAGTAAAAACATATTTTTAAAAAAACCACAGCTTTCACATTTCTAAGCAAAGGTTTCTAATAATGCTCAGAGCTACAATCATAGAAACTGTCCTTAGGATCACATGAGATTCATTTCTAAGTATATGCTAAAAACAGTCTTGATGAAAAAGTATAATGACTAAAGGAGCATCCACTGAGTCTCTATGACAGGGGTCCTCGAACTACGGCCTGTGGGCCACATGCAAATACAACTATTGTATTTGTTCCCGCTTTGTTTTTTTACTTCAAACTAAGATATGTGCAGTGTGCATAGGAATTTGTTCATAGTTTTTTTTTAAACTATAGTCCGGCCCTCCAACGGTCTGAGGGACAGTGAACTGGCCCCGTTTAAAAAGTCTGAGGACCCCTGCTCTATGGCTTCTGAGATCTACATTTGAGACTACCACTTTTGTGCAAGTAGAAAACCAGTGAAGTAGAAGCTCTAGGAAATTGGACCTTGATGGAGAACTAGGTTGTATGGAAGCTAAAAAATACAAGTTAACAATAAACAACAGTTCTATTTCTTGAGATCAAAAATATTTTCAAAATTAGAATACAGACATATCAAGTAAAGCTACCTCTAGTTAAATATACACAAAGGAGCAAAGAGAAATGCTTCCTTTTAGGAAAAAAAAGAAAGGTAGAATAATGCACAGCAAGTAAACGAACACTTCCCATTTGGTTTCTTACTATTAGACATGAACCCACTGGGTTCCCCGTTGTCCTTGAGGATCACCTACCATGTGGTAACGTTATGTTTGCACCATCAATGATTGCTTGTGCCAGTTCATGATCATTGCTCTCAAAAGCATGTGCTGCAGCCTTCAAGGCATCCCAAATCTCTTTACGGCCTTCAAAAGCTGGTGCAGTATCCCAAAATTCATCCCTTTTGCTGCGCAGCTGTCCATCTGTCATGGGATAATCGCTTTTCCATTTAGGTTTCTCCTTTTTCAAAGGCTGGTTGCGACCTAAAGCAACTGAGAATAAAAGGCTAACATCAAAACCAAAATTTACAAAAGATGTGTTAAAAATTATCTGGTCATTCCTCTTTGATTCTTTCATCAAATTATAGTTAAAAGTTTGCCTCTAGCTATTTCTTGCATTCTGAAATCCCCCTAACCGAATTTAGAACTATAAGAGCAAACGGAGACATTAAATGGCTCGACCCAAAACTTCCAATGACAAGTTAGGAGTTCTTTTCCACTTGGTATTCCTTCTCCAAAGGATGATTTTAAAAAATTACCTAGAAAAATAGTGTTAAGTGTTTCACAGGACAATAATGACAGGATTTAAAAAGAGTTTAGCTTTTTAGTTGACTCAGTGGATAAAGTGTTGGACTGCGGACTGGGGGGTCCCAGGTTCGATTTCGTTCAAGGGCATATGCCTCGGTTACAGGCTCGATCCCAAGTAGGGGGTGTGCAGGAGGCAGCCAATTCATGATTTTCTCATCACTGATGTTTCTATCTCTCTCTCCCTCTCTCTTCCTCTCTGAAATCAGTAAGAATATATTTTAAAAAATGAAGAGTCAAAGGGTGCCACAAAAGAGATACCTTAAGATGTGAGATACTAGGGAAACCAAATGGCAACAATAGCTTGAATCTCAGGACCCCTGGACATATGAAGCCAGTACGTAGGAACTACTGAGAAATGGCACAGAGGGAAGAGACTGCTTTGTGGTGAGGGAAGAGCAGCTAAACTACCAGCTCCACAAGGGAACCCCACCTCTGAACTTCAGTCAAGAACTGCTGAATGCCTTGCTCTGAAATTCCTAAGGAGCTAATTTAGAAAGGGGTGACAGAAAGGGACACAATCAGTGCTTCACTCTTTGGAGGAACTAGGATTGGAACAGGTGAGACGCACCAACCACAGGAGCAGAACTACAAAACCCTACTCTAGTTTCCATCCACGAGAAGCAAAAAGAAGACAGGAGTCCACTCCTGTTTTGCCCGAAGTGGCAGCATAGCTCCTGAGAGAATGTTACAGAGCAGAAATGCCAGAACAAGCCCCATGCCGCTTCTCTGCACCCAGATACTTACTTGGCCCATAATCACTGATCTCACACTGACATACAGAACCAATCTTCCCTTATGCAGTGCCATACATAAAAAATAGTTTGATAGATGGAAAAATAGGTAAAAAGACTGAAGCTCACTAAAGTGTTGGCTAAGAGTGGGTGGGACATAAATGACAGAGCAGGTGGGAAGAAGAGGGTGTACATCAAAATTCAATGTTCTATATTTAATTGTAGGAAGAACACTAATTTAAAAGAAATTACTGCCAAAATGGTTCTAAGGAATCCATGAAATTAACCACTCCCTCACTGGCCTAGGGCCAAATTAAATTTGGGCTATTCATTACAGAAAGAAAACAAAATTACTCCAGCCTGGCCAATCTTTACATCCTATACCAGACTGTTTCTGGATGATAGGACCAACTAATGCTGCAAGGCATATCTGTCCAGCACCTGAATTAAACCATCTCTCTTCACCCCATCTAGCCTCTTTATTTCCAGGCAGCACACATCAGTTCTCATCCTCTCACCTTCACAGGAGTACACCATGCTACTGGCCAGCTGTTTTTCTCTTAAAACACTCAATACTTTGACTCACTGTACTTTTTGGCCCTCTAACTTGTCCTGGTGAAACCCACACCAGTTGAGTTCTAAAAGGGTGTACATAGCAGAGAAGGAAAATTATTTAGCAGCAGGTTTAATTCAAATGTGAGAAACACAATCTACTAAGACTTTTCACTGCATCTTACAAAAAATACAGATCAATGCAGGTAGAACATTATTTGCCAAAAGGTGTCCCAAATGTGTTAGACAATCACAATCCAGCTCCTGATCCCACCAAAAACGTAAAATGAAAGGTAAATTTTATTTTCTGCTAGATTAATCTTTAGGTGACTCAGAAATAGTTTGCAGAGTACGCTGAACATTAGTTTACTGAGTAAGAAGTGGGAGACAGGACGTGATGGGTAGATACGTATTTTAATAAAGTTTCGGGTCTACCTGAGGAGTTCCACAGAACTGTCTAGCCTCAACTGTATTACATCTATTGGAGAGATAACCTGGTATAAGTCTGTCATTGTGAGAATCACAAGGCAAAAGGCAGAAACAGCAGCAAAACCTACAGAACCTCAGTACTTATACCAAAGAAACTTGAAAGAGGCCCTCAAACAGAGGAACCCAACAGAAAAACGATCCCATTCTATAGAGTAAAAGGCTAATATGCAAATTGACCGAATGGCAGAACGACCCATCGCTATGACGCGCACTGACCATCAGGGGACAGATGCTCAATGCAGGAGCTGCCCCCTAGTGGTCAGTGCACTGCCACAGGGGGAGTGCCGCTCAGCCAGAAGCCAGGCTCATGGCTGGCGAGCACAGCGGCGGTGGTGGGAGTCTCTCCCATCTCCACGGCAGTGCTAAGGATGTCCGACTGACGGCTTAGGCCCACTCCCTGTCAGTTGGACATCCCCTGAGGGCTTCCAGACTGCGAGAAGGCACAGGCTGGGCTGAGAGGCCCCCGAGTGCAGGAATTTCGTGGTGCAAATAGAGCTACTTTGATTTTGATTTTAGCTGATATCACAAAAATGCATTTCTGCAAATAGTTGGACACAGGAATCAGCCTAAGGAGCTAAGTAGCTCTATTTGCACCAAAGTGCAAATTGCAGGCAAGTAACCACTGGGTCTCTAGTCTCATAATAAAGGTAGAAAATACTTCATAAAAGTAAAAGCACCCTCCTTACAAATATGAGGTAGCTTTATCGCACATCCGCGGATCTGTAAAACCATAAGAACAAAGTTCCATAAAAAGAATACATGATACATTATGCTGCATAAGGATAATGATCATTCCACATCCATTTTCAAATCAATATGCTGTCAAAAGTTCCAAAGTAATTACTTTGTGCAAAAGTAAAGAAAAGTAAGTTTGTGACATGAAGTAAGCTTGCCTTTATCTGTCTGGATCTTCATTATTTTTACCTATATAACAAACATACGTAATACAGAATATCTGACTATCGAATGTCCATTACTAAAATACTTTAAAAACTCTGCAACATAAAATACTATTTTAGAGAAACCAATGAGCAGTGCAGAATTTTCACTGAGGCTAAAAGCTTCATGTTAAAGAAACTAAATATAGTTTATTACCTAACTTACCTTATGTTAGATGAACTAACTGTAAAAAGAAAAATAACATTTAGCAAAAGCATTTAAACTATTGCTCCCATGAACCTTGGCCAGTGTGGCTCAGTTGGCTGAGTGTTGTCCCATGCACTGAGAGCTTGTTACAGGCTCGATTCCCAGGAGGGGGTGTGGAGGAGGCAGCGTTATTGGTGGTTCTCTTTTTTCATCAATGTTTCTCTCTCTCCCCCTACTCTAAAATCAATAAAAACATAATTAAAAAAAAAACCACACAAACTATGCTCCTATAAAACATAAATATTAAGGGTTGTTATGAGAACTTAAAAAGTTAGCATTTGCAAAGCACATATAATAATGATTGGTATATAATAAAACTACAAATAAGTTTTTCAGTAAACCTTCCTAACCTTAAAAAGAATTGTTCTGATTGTCATGCACTTCCTGTGCATTTATCAGAGTACATTTTCTAAGAATTTGCTCACTGAATCTTGTGTTTTGATTTTAGCTGATATCACAAAAATGCATTTCTGCAAATAGTTGGACACAGGAATCAGCCTAAGGAGCTAAGTAGCTCTATTTGCACCAAATAAACCATTTCTAATTATGTAAAAACAGATATAAAATATACTCATTTACATATTTTATGCTCTGAAACTTTCAGATGTACCTGCTTCACACAACTGACTCCTGACACTAAAACAGGTATTCAATATTACTCATGCAATAGGACTAAGTACTATGCTCTGATTTAAAGACAGAAAACAGCTCTTATTCACCATATTTGTTTCTTAATCTTTAAATTGCAGGCAAGTAACCATACTTAGTTTTATTCCATGCATATGAGAAATGAAAGATTGGCCCTACTATGTTTGGCTCATTTGGACAGTGTTGGCCTGCGGACTGAAGGGTCCCAGGTTTGATTCCTGTCAAGGGCACATGTCCAGGTTGCAGGCCTCCCAGTAGGGGATGTGCAGGAGGCAGCCGATCAATGATTCTCTGTGTTCATTGATATTTCTCTCTCTCCCTTCCTTTCTGAAATCAAAAAATATATATTAAAAAAGAAACAAAAGATTAAAGAAACAAATTTTTTTGTTAATTCTCACCCGAGGATATTTTTTCCATTGAAAAAAAAAAATTTTTTTTTTGAGCGAGTGGAAGGGAGGAGACAGAAACACTGATATGAAAGAGATACATTGATTAGCTGCCTCCCGCATGTGCCCTGATCAGGGACTGGTAATAGAGCCTGCAATTGAGGTTTGTGCCTGACTGGAATCCAACTCGACACCCTTCAGTCACTCGGGCTGACACTCTAACCATTGAGAAAACTGGCTAAGGCAGAAATCTAATTTTTTTTTTAAAAAAATGTATTTTATTGATTTTAGAGAGGAAGGAAGAGGGAGGCAGATAGAAACATCAATGATGAGAGAGAATCATTGATTGGCTATCTTCTGCACGCCCCCTACTGGGGATTGAGCCCACAACCCAGGCACATGCCCTTGGCCAGAATCGAACCTGGGACCCTTCAGTACACAGGCTGATGCTCTATCCATTTAGCTAAACCAGCTAGGGCAGAAATCTAATTTTTAAAAAGGCATCTAAAAAAATACCTGTTTTTATCAAGACACATTGCCAAAAATCCATCTTCTCAGAAGCCTCTTAAATCACATTCATCTACTCCTTATCTTTCCTTATAACCTTTCAACACTTCTTCCCACTCTGTGACAAAGAGCTCTAACATGGAATAAAAACAAGAAAGGCTTGCTTCTCAGATTTAAATAGCAACATAATCTTAAATATTTTTACTCCACAATTGAATGCACTTTGCATTAACTAATTTTGACACTTTATTGATTAAAAACAATGATTTCCAAAGTGAAATGTGTTTACAGTCATTTTCCTGCTATTGTCCCCGCTTTGAAAACCAGGATTTAATAATCGAATTCTTCAAATGAAGAAACAAGAAGTCATAATGCATAGATAAGGTAAATATCAAGATATAACTCAAGCTGAAACCGGTTTGGCTCAGTGGATAGAGCGTCGGTCTGCGGACTGAGGGGTCCCAGGTTCGATTCCGGTCAAGGGCATGTACCTGGGTTGCGGGCACATCCCCAGTAGGAGATGTGCAGGAGGCAGCTGGTCGATGTTTCTCTCTCATCGATGTTTCTAACTCTCTATCTCTCTCCCTTCCT